GATGTACTTGATATCTTATACATTTATATATGTTAAAATGTTATTTATTATTTATTGGGATAAGATATATTAGAGAGTGTGGAAGTAATCAAAGGATGATGTCTTCTTTGATTTTACGAATGAAATTCCTAATTCCTTGGTAATTGTTCCTCAGAAAATTTTCAAATGCCTTTGAATCAAGTTTTCTGGTTACTAGACATAGGCATTCATATCAAAAGAGCTGAATAGTAAATTTCATAGGGCAGCATGAGAAGAAAAAATAAAGTGTTAATTTTTGAAATGTGTAAAAACCTGGAGTTAGAAAGCCAAAGGGGAAGAAGAAACTCAACATTTCACAAACTGAAAGAACTGAAGAAAAATATCCAAGACTTGAGCTGCAGTATTGAAGAATTCTATGGACAAAATTGCCTGCCTCCTGTCCTGGAGTCTTCCAACATTTGAGGAAGGCTCATATACAACAGGGCATGCTAGAAGAGAAGAGAACTTAAAATTTTTACTGATGAGGTTAAAGACTTCAGTATGTATTATACCTCAATGTAAAGAAAGCAAAAATACTCAAAATTGGACCAATAAATAACATTATGATAGATGGAGAAAAGATTGAATGTGTTAAAGATTTCGTTTTGCTTGTATTCACAAGCAATTCCCATGGAAGCAGCAGGTAAGAAATCAAAAGACATTGCGTTAGGCAAATTTGCTGCACAGAACCTCTTTAAAGTGTTCAAGACCAAAGATAATAGTTTGAGGACTAAGGCGCCATACCAAAGTTGCAGTATTATCAATCATCTCATATGCATGTGAAAGTTGGACAGTGAGTAATGAAGACCATAGAAAAATTGATCTATTTGAATTATAGTGCTGGAGAAAAATATTGAAAGTGGACTACCAGAAGAACAAACAAATGATTCTTGGAAAAAGTACAGCCAGAATGCTCCCTAGAAGTAAGAATGGTAAGACTTCCTCTTTCATACCCTGGAAATATTATCAGGAGGGAGCGGAACATCATGCTTGGCAAAGTGAAGGGTGAGCTGTAACGAAAAAGACCCCCAGTGAAATACGTTGACAGAGTAGCCACAGCAATGGATTCAAATGTAATAAAAGTTGTGAGAATAAAATTATGCATATTTTATTCTGTTAAGTACAGAATTGCTATGGGTTGAAACTGACTCAGCAGGGCCTAAACAAATTTAACATTGGGCAAAATATTGAATGATGCAGGAAGCTTCAAAAGAAGATGGAAGGAATACAGACAGAGTTACTGTACCAAAAATAATCGGTCTATATTCAATCATTTCAAGAAGTACTATATGATCATCAACTGATGGTATTGAAGAATGAAGTTCAAGCTGCACTTAGAGTATTGGTGAAAACAAGTCTCCAGGAATTGACAGAATACAATTGAAATCTTTCAGCAAACTGATGCGGTGCTGGAGGAGCACACTCATCTATGCCAACATATTTTGGAAGACAAATACCTGGTCAAATGGTGAGATCCATATTTGTGCCCATTACAAAGAAAGATATATAACAGAATGTGGATGTCTTTTAACAATATTATAAATACCACATCAAGTAAAATGTTGCTAATGATAATTCCAAAATGATTGAAACATTACAGTGACTGTGAACTACCTGATATTCAAGCCTGATTCAGAAAATAACCTGGAATTTGGGTCACTGGTAACATCTGATGGATCTTGGCTGAAAGCAGAGAGTACCAGAAAGATATTTACTTGTGTTTCATTGTCCATGCAAAAGCTACTGACTGTGTGGCTCATAACAAACTATGGATAATATTGCAAAGAGCAGGAATTCCAGAACACTTTGTTTATGAGTAATCTGTGCAGGAAGACTTAAAATATTTCCTGATGAAGATCTAAGAGCACAGCCTTCAGTATGGATTGCATCTCAATGTAAAGAAAACAAAAACCCTCACCACTGTACCAATAAACAACATTCTTAGCAACGGAGAAAAGATTGAAGTTGTCAAGGACTTTATTCATCTTGGATCAACTATGAACACTCGTGGAAGCAGCGGTCAAGAAATCAAACGATGTATTGCATTAGGCAAATGTGCTGCACAAGACCTTTTTAAAGTGTTGATGAGCAAAGATGTCAGCTTGATGACTAAGCCATGGTATTTTTAGTTACCTCATATACATGTGAAAGCTGGACAGTGAATAAGGAAGACCGTAGAAGAATTGATGCTTTTAAGTTATGGTGTTGGAGGAGAATAGTGAAAGTGCCATGGGCTGCCAAAAGAACCAACAGATCTGTGTTGGAAGAAATGCAGCCAGAGTGTTCGTTGGAGGCCAAGATGGCCAAATTTCATCTCTCATACTTCGGACATATTGTCAGGAGTGACCATTCGCTGGAGAAGGATATCATGTTTGGTAAGGTGTTGGGTCAGAAAAAGAGAGGGAATACCCCCCAGTGAGATGGATTGGCCAAGTGGCAGCATCAATGGGCTTAAGTGTGGCAACAAAAGTGAGGTTAGCCCAGGGTCGGGCAGTGTTTCCTTCTGCTGTGCATAAGGTTGCTATGAGTCGGTACTGACTCAATGGCACCTAACAACATCAACAATCTATGTAGGAGTCCTGGTGTGGTGCTATGGCCTAATGTGCTAGACTTCAAAGTCATTTGAACTGCAAAGTTTGTGGTTCAAGATCACCAACTACTCCTTGGAAATCCTATACAGGGTCGCAATTGACTCTATGGCACTTAAGAACAACACCAACAATCTGTGCATAGATCAAGAGGCAGTCTGTGTACATAGGGAGTACATAGACATTTTTTTAAACAAAACAGAAGGATACTGATCAGTGAAAAATCAGGAAAGGTCTGTGCCAGGGTTGTATCCTTTTGTCATACTTATAACAGCAACAATAAAATATCTCAAAAAAAAAAAAAAGAGAGAGAGAGAGAGAGAGAGAGTTTGAGAGTGAGAGAGTGTGAGTGATGGACGGGGAGGGAGAGGGAGAATCAAGACTCACTGCCCTGACTCTGAAGGACTTGCCTTAAAATTGACAACACTGTTGTCAACACTATGTTGCTGTATTATTGTGAAGTGCCATCGAGTCGGTTCTGAGCCATAACGACCCTGTATAGGGTTTCCGAGGAGCAGATGGTAAAGTTGAACCACCGACCTTGCAGTTCAAATGGCTTTGCAGTCTGGTGCATTAGCCCACATTGCCACACCAGGACTCCTTGTCATCACTATAGGCTATAGTATTTCATCTATGAGTTTTCTATTCACTGCTGATGGCAAGTTGTTTCCTAAATGCTTCAGATCCCCAAATAAATTAATCCCATCCTTGAAGGATTATGTTTTGTGGGGCATAGTGTTCATATATGCATTAGGGAAAGAAGTTTTTGCAATTAATCATTTTAAATTCCATGTTATGTCTTTACACAGGTGTTCCGTGGAAATGTTGATAACAACACCCCCTATGCTAACTCTTTTACACCGCCAATAAAAGCTCAGTATGTAAGACTCTATCCCCAAGTTTGTCGAAGGCACTGCACTTTAAGAATGGAACTTCTTGGCTGTGAGCTATCAGGTGAGTCTCATATTATCTACTTCTGGTGTGGTGCTATAGGATAAGCACTGGACTGAGAACCTCAAGTTCTGCGGTTCAAACTCACCAACTACTACATGGTAGACAGTTGAGACTTTCTACTCCCATAAAGATTTACAGCCTTGAAAACCCTATATAGGATCTCTATGAGTTGGAACTAATTCCATAGCACCTAACAACAACAACATACCCTTTTGTAGAAGGAACACTGGTGACACTGTAGGTAAACACTGGACTGCTAACTGCAAGGTCCATGGTTCAAAATCAGTAGCTGCTCTGTATTAGAAAGATGAGATTTTTCTGCTCCTGTGACGATTTACAGCCTCAGAAATCCTATACAGGGCCACTAGGAGTTGGACAGCAGTGATTATAGTTTTTGGTTTCATATCTTATTTGAAGGAAACAAACAAACAAACAAAAAAAGCCCACATTTGTTTGTAGTTTGCTATGGAAATGTAAATATCCCAAACCCATAGAGATTCATTACTCCTAGACACTCTAGGGCATGGTATAGTGAAAATCACTGTATGTTGTATGTGGGATAAACAATGTCTATAGTATGGTGCACAATGGAATTAAATAGAAAGAACAATGTATTTGAGCAGTCAACAAAAGTGCAATACATTCTCACTGGCAATTGTTATAACATGTAAATGTGCCTTATTGTTTTTAATAGGAACACTGGTTTATATTTTGTGACAGAAGTTCAGTAAAAACTAGGATCTTCTTGGTCTCATAAAGTACTATTAGGCTATATAGTACAGAAAAGTAAGGTTTATTTTTCTCTATCAACCAGAACTTAGCTTTTTTAGTTAAGGTTTTATGAAATATGTAAATTTATCATTGCTCCCAAGGAAACAATACTTCAGAATCAAGATGGTTTCTACAAATTCATTCTTGGATCTTTCTTAGCTAGAGACCTGCTTATTGTACAAACAGTGGTTATCCATCTCAAGAATAATAAATCAAAAGACTCAGAGTTAAAAATTCTTATCCTTCAGGATCAGCAGCCCTAGGTATAAGGATGAAGACTTAACGTGGTGTTCTCACAGTGGTTCCCGTTCAATAGAACTGGATTGTGAACTAAATAGAAAATCTTATATAGGCATTTTACTGTGCTGTACTGTTGGTGGCTATTCTTATATATCTAGCATAAAAATTTATAAACTATCTTTGCCCCAGTGGGCTGAAATTACTTTGTTCAGACAACATGGGGGAGGGGGAGAGTCAAGGCCTCCTTGCAGTATGAAAAATTGTCTATCAAATTTACCACAGATACCATTTAGTTAAAAATAGTAGTATACATCTCTGCAAAGAGACAACTATATGCTTTTTATTTAGTTCACGAGATTATTTATAGGTCAAAATACATACTTTGTATATTTCCCCCTTCTTTGATTTATTTCTTACACAAAGAATGATTTTTAAGCATATAAGTGTTGCCATGTTAAAAACAACCAATTTTTTAAAATAAGCTATTTGAACTACAGTGATTTGGCCAGATTAATGAACCTATTGTAAGAATTATATTTTCATATTATTTAGCAGTGCCGTTTATGAAGCAACCAGCATATGGTTTTATTGCTATTAATTATCCTAGCTAAGTATTTTTCCTATTTTGGTTATTCAACCTGGCGATTGGCTGACAGTAAATCTTGCAGAATTACTGCTATGCTGTGTTTGTATTGCATGCCACTGTATCATCAGGGCCAGTGCCATCCTTAAGTCATTCATCATAAAGCAATCAAGAGGGAGCCGCAGTATGATGAGGTCTGCTGTAAGCTCTGTGCTTTTTACTTCCCTCACATTACCTTTCCCAATTTTTCAACCTTTTGATTCATGAGAGTCAGTCACTTATACATGGCATAGTTACACCCAAGGTGTGAACATATTTTACTTCCAAGCTTGACAAGAGTTAACACTTGACATTTTACAGACTTTATTTTTGCAAAAGAAGCAGTGCTCTATCTCCCACCTGTACAAATCAATTTTGATCTTGTAAGACATTATAAAAAGCTAAGATACTTCACTACAGAATAAGGAATGTGATTGTTAAAACTTCATTTTGTTCAGATGCTAATTAATAAGATTAATAAGAATGGGTGACTTTTCATTAATATAAATAATACAAGTTAATTTGATTATATATATATAAAATCATATGGATGAGAAAGCAAATCTATGACATTAGATACATTGGCAGACAGCTTCGTTATAATGCTTGGAAATAAACAGTAATATTGTACATCAAGGAGTCCTGGTGTGGTGCTATAGGATAAGCACTGGACTGCTAACTGCAAGGTTACTGGTTCAAACCCACCAACTGCTCCTTGGAAACCCTATAAAAGGTTGTTATGAGTCAGAACAGACTTCATGGCACTTACCACAACATTACATATCAAACAATTTCCCAGAACTCAGTGGAACACTGTAAAGGCCAAGGCTGCCTTGCTATATTCAATAAACTGTTATCACATCTCTCAACCAGTTTAGAAAATCAACAGTAAATCTTTTCCCAGTCACTTAAAAATATCTTCTAAGACCTCCAAAAGAGATGCGATGTGATTTAAGATGCTTAGAATGTCATGTCCATAATTAGAGCAGAAATAACTCACTCATTTATTTTTTGAGTAAATCATCATTCTGCAACTTCTCTAGGCTAATGGGACAACAGATCAGTTACAAAAATGAAATTAATGACTAAGCATAAATGGTAAAAAGGAGCTCTGGTAGTGTAGTGGTTACGAATCGGGCTGCGAACCGTAAGGTCAGCAGTTCGAAACTACCAGCGGTTCCTCTGGAGAAAGATGAGGTGTTCTGCTCCCGTAAAGGTTAACAGCCTCGGAAACCCTGTGCAGGGTCGCTATGAGTTGGAACCGACTTCACAGTACTTAACAACAAACAACAACAACAAATGGTAAAAGTAAAGGTATTATTCTTTTTCTAGTCAATACTTCAAATATTATGTTTATCATAAATAGAAACAAAAATGACCTTTCCTTTTTCTCTAGTATGTTTTTCTCAAATCAAGCAGTTTTATAAAGATAGAAGAGGGAAGGTACAGTTCTTTGTAATGTAAATAATGCATGTTACTGTATAACTGACTGAAAATAAATAGCATGCCATTAAATCCATTAGAATGTCTAGAATCCTTGAGATTTGGTATGATGTTTGTTTGCCTCACCCAGAATGTGTATTTAAGTTTTATAGATGTCTTTATTATAGGGCCTATAAATTTTCTTCAAGACTTAACTTTGTAACTAGAAACCACTGTGACTGTGCTAAAACATACAGTTGGCTGACCTCCATGCCATTGTTCTTCATGTTTGCATAGGAAAAGCATTTACTAGAAAGTGAAGATAAGGCAAACATGATGGAACCTCAGGATGAAAGAAATGTTCTAGGGATCCAGGACAGAAATAAACAAACAAAAAACAGTTGTCATTGGGTCACTTCCAACTTACAATGTCACATGTGTGCCAAAATAGAACTATGCGCCATAGGGCTTTCAATGATTGATGGATTGATTGATAGATTTATCTGTTTATTTATTTATTGTTTTTGAGAGTAAATCACCAGGTCTTTCTTATGAGGTGCCTCTGGTTATACTTTTACCATCAACCTTTCTATTGGCAGCCAAACACTTAGCAAATGCTTAATCCTTTATAGTACCCAGCAACTCCTTTTTGTCAGGACTTGAGCAATACATTGTGGTCAAGAATTATTAATCAATGAAGAATTAAAAACCACGTCTTCTAGAATTTAGAGTTAAAATGGCCTGGTTTTAGAAATTCTACCGTGACATAAGATATGCTTTAGTACTAACTGATATATGAGTACTTACCACATAATACTTGGAAATAGACAGCAATATTGCACATCAAGGAGTCCTGGTATGTTGTTGTATGGTGCTATAATATACACTGATCTTGTGGTTCACAGTCTGGTGAACCTATAAAGGGTTTCTTTGAATTGAGAAAAGACTCAACACTTAACAACAACAACAAACATGTTGTGAGTTGGAATGAGTTTTAGGGAAATTACAAAATAGGTAGAACTCAGTGCCAGCTATATGCCAGCATGGTTTCTAAATACTTTATGGTTTTGAACTAATTTAATAGAATGTGTCTGTGAGGTAGTTTCTATTATATCCCCATTTTACAGATGTGCAAACTTAAACACAAAATAAGTAAATAAATGGGCTCAAGTCCATACAGCTATTAAGTGAGGGATTAGTAGAGTATAAGGAGACGTCATTGGTTAGATAAGTCTTTATTTTGATTCTTTGCTTCCTTGATGATAAAATGTGTTTTGCTTGTTTCCTGGAAGAAGTGTTCCAGTTTCACATACAGATGAATCAACCACTGACCACTATGATAATTATGACTATGACACTATGATAATTCCTATTACAACCTTTGTGAATGGCATTTTATAACAATTGCCATTCAAGATTTGAAAATAGTATATGTATGCATGTGTGTGTGCCCATAGACACACACACACCTGACATTAAAAGGGCAAGCAAACCCTTACTGTGTACCTTACTAAAGTGCTGTGGGTTAATGCACTGGACTGCAGAAGTCAGTTTGAATTGCAAGGTCAGTGGTTCAAGCTTACCAGTCACTCCTCAGAAACCATATACAGGGTCACTGTGAGCTAGAACGGACTCAACAGCACTTAAAAACAGCAGCAAACCTGATTAGGAGTCCTTGTGTGGCACTGTAGGATAAGCCCTGGTCTGCTAACCCACCAGACCTCCTTGAAAACCCTATACATGGTCTCTGAGTTGGAACTGACTCACGGACACTTAACAACAACTACAAACTTGAAAATAAATGCTTTAGATGTGAGAATCTCCCAAAATATTCAAGCATGAGAGTTTACTGAGTGTACTTTAAATATAAGATTTTATATAAAGCTTGTTTTTTAATGCTTTTAACTAGAATTCACTTGTTTTCTTCTACTGTCTTATCTATGGAACTGCTGCTGTAGCATTGTAGGATCAGCACTGGCATGCAAACTACAAAGTCAGCAGTTCAAACCCACCAGCTGCTCCTCAGAGTTATGAGTCAGAACCGATTTGACAGCATTTAACAACAACAACAACAATCTTACCTATGAGTCAGATCCAACTTGAGGACACTTCACAATAACACCAATTTTACCAGTTACTTTAAATTATGTATTTTCATGATACCTGGCACATGGTATATACTAAATAAACATTACTTTCCTACTTTCAGAGGAAGCCATGTTGGTTTTATTAGACTCATTGATAAAGATGATCAGACATACCTTCAGAAACTAAATACCGTCTAGGTGAGGCTGTAACTGTGGAGCAGTTTGTGACAATGACATGTATTGAGATACTTTTCATTTCTATTATTATGGGAACAATTACATGAAAACCAAATATGCTAAGTGAGAAAACTGTCCAATTTATAAAGACACAATGAAATTGTTGAAAGCCAAGAAACAATCTACCAATAGTAAGACTCCCAATGATAAGACGAGAGAGCATTTCAGTATTGTTTCCACTTTGCAAATTCATCTATCACAGAAAAAATAGTTTGAATTGTCTATCTTGTTTCCAATTTCTCTAAAATATATTCAAACAAAATAGGCAGAATTGGCTATCTTGTTTTTCTACATTGTTCCAGATTTATTTCTGATTATAGCCTTTTTTGTGAATTTGGATGCTTTCTCTTTGGAGAAATGAATAGCATTATGCGTAATCTCCTCTCGCAGACACAAAATGAACACAGAAAGCTTCCAAAGTGATAAATTATTTTTCTCATGGAGCTCTTCTCATTTTCTTTCAGGCTGTTCTGAGCCTCTGGGGATGAAATCAGGACACATCCAAGATTATCAGATTACTGCCTCTAGCATTTTTAGAACTCTCAATATGGACATGTTCACTTGGGAACCACGGAAAGCTCGGCTGGACAAACAAGGCAAAGTGAATGCCTGGACTTCTGGACACAATGACCAGTCACAGTGGTTACAGGTAATATTTTCAAAGACGGTTTCACCATGCACAATTCATCCTCCTCAGGAAATAAGCTGTTGGTTAGATAAATGTCAGAGTCATTACCTTCATATACATTTAACTGTGTTTTCTCCACTGGCCTAGCTAAATTGATAAAACATAAAGTTCATCTGCTATTTTTCTCTGATGTTGACTTTTAAATGTTGCAGTTAGGGTGATGCCTCATAGTGTACCTGAATACATTATGCATATATCAACTTGATTGATCATGAAAGCATTTGTCTTCTAATGGCTCTCTATTAGAATGCATTGTGTCAATATTAGTTTTGAAAATGTCACAGGAGGAATCCACACAGCATTGAAATCAAGTCGCTGACCTGAAGATTGTTCACAAAGAATCATGAGTCATGACTTATTATATCTTTACCTGAGGTTGCTAAGCAATGTAGCAAGTTGATTATTTTCTTATAACAAAGCTTGCTTATAGAAGGAATGCTTAGATAACTGCAGAGTCTATTTAGCATTTGCAAATGAAGCTAGGTCACAGTCAGTGCTTTTTAGAACAATCTCATTGAAATGCACTTATTTGTGGAGTGCTTTTGAAGTATGCACAAATTTGTTAATATCATTTGTGGCAAAGAAAAGTAAGACAGCTTAATTCTATAACAAGGTCACTGTATATAAAGTGTGAGTTCTATTCTCAATGGTTATTATGCTATATACATGAGTTTCAAAACTATGGTAATTCATTGTATTTCATGAAATCATGAAAACAATAAAACAGCAATTTTTTATATGTCAAACCAGATTTGTCACATTGGAAACTGATATCACCAAGTTACTTGAAAATTCCAATATACCCTTCTGAGTTCTATCTTTACTTGGTTTTACTGTTGTTGTTAAGTGTCATTGACTCAGTTCAGACTCATAGCAACCCTGTGTAGGTCTTCCAGGGAGCAGCTGGTGAGTTTGAACTGCCAACCTTGTAATTCAAACTGATCTTGTGGTTCAGTGCTTTATCCTACATAACCATTACGTTTTCTTATTTTAATACATGGAAATCATCACTTTTATTATTATTATTACTTTCACTTTCCATTCCAGCTGGACCCTCATTAATCTAGAGCTGTATTGTGTTCTTTCATTTGCTACAACAAATGAATGTATGTCTTTCTCCTATTCAGTGGGTTAAGTGTTGAGCTGCTAACAGAAATGTCGGCAGTTCAAAACCATCAGCCATTCTATGAAACAAAGATGAGGCCGTCTGCTTCCTTAGAGATATACAGCCTTGGAAACCCTATGAAGCAGTTCTACACTTTCTGACAGGGTTACTATGAGTTGGAATCGACTCAATGACAGTGGCTTTGCATTTGGTTTGGTTTTCCTATTCCTATTCTATGAGCTTCTTGAAAATAGAGACTATCTGTTATTTGTTTTATATCAGGTCAGTACTCAGCTTGATGTCTTTTATAAAGTTAAATAATTTATTTAGCAATATTTAATGATTGCCCCAGCAAGATGGTTTGGCAAAGTGGCAGCATCAATGGGCTCAAGTATGCCAACAATAGTGAGGTTGGCCCAGGATTGGGCAGTGTTTCTTTCTGCTGTGCATAAGGTCGCTATGAGTTGGTACTGACTCAATGGCACCTAACAACAACAACAACAATGAGTGCCTGTGAAGCAACATACCAAACCAAACTCACTGCCACGGAGTACATTATGATTTATATAGGGTTTTGAGTCCTGATGTGGTGCTATAGGATAAGCACACAAACTACAAGGTTGATTTGAACTGCAAACTCGGTGGTTCAAATCTACCAGCCACTTTTCAGAAACTGTATACAGGCTTGTTATGAGGCAGAATAGACTCAATGGTGTTTAACAACAATATATAGGGTTTACAAGGCTTTAAATCTTTAAGGGGCCAGACTATAATATGTTAAATTTTTAAGCACATGAGTGAGCAATATACTGTTCATGCTCTTAAGACATTAATTCCTTCTTAAAACCATTCCTCTTATTTGACTATCATTACACATCCTTTTTGTTTTCCTCCCATCTCCTGGTTAATCCTTCTCACTAACTTTTTCATTCTATCCTCACTTTCTCTGTTATCGTCCTGCTCAAGTTACCATCACCAGCCCTTTTAACCAATTCTACGTAATCATATTAACAATTTATATGAAGTAGTGACTTCAACTACTAAAGAATCACCCAACTATTTAAAAATCTTTCCACTGAAAATATGTAGTCTCTTACCTCCCCTGTTTAAATTCTTTGCTAACATCCCAGCAACCTAAGAATGAAGTTCAAACTCAATGTGCTCTGAAAGTCTTTCTGTGATTTGTATACATTTCATGTTGTATCACATTCTTCTAATTTGCTTTGATTGCTTAAACTAATCACAATCTCTCAATTAGTATTCCTTTATAATTTTCGTCTCCCTAAAGGAAGAGAATGGAAAGAAAGTCTCTGCTTACAGTATCATTAGCCTTTAATTCATTAATTCCTTCAGTTATACTTTGGATGTACATTCCTATGGGAGGAGGCACTTGGCTGCTAATTAAAAGTTTGTCATATCAAGTCACACAGCAGTATTGTTTTAGTTATCTACTTTGGCTATGACAAATATACACAGTTGGTTGACTTGAACAAACAAAAATGTATTCTCTTAGTTTAGAAGGTTATCAGTTTGAATTTAAAATGCCAGCTCTAGAGAAAGATCCTTGTCTCCTTTCAGTATTTGTAGGCCCAGCATTCCCTGGACTTCTCCATGTGTTTTGGCATCAATTGTTTCCTAGATCTAGGATCCCAGGTCTAAAAGACACATTCCACTCCTGGCATTTCTTTCTTGGTGATAGTAGGTCCCTTTTCTCTGCTCTTTTCTCTCTCCTTTAATCTTTCTAAGATAAAAGATAATGTAGACTTTCCTCCTGGGGAACTCCTTACATCAGTGAGGGGTGTGATGTGACTGTTGTTAAGTACTCTAGAGTTGGTTCTAACTCACAGTGACCCTGAATTGGTTTTCCAAAAGCAACTAGTGGGTTTGAAACACTGACCTTGCTTTTAGCCATCAGTATTTATTCTATAGTACCACATTAGGACTCCAAGTATATTGTATTGTTGTTGCTGTTAGGTGCCATTGAGTTGGTACTGACCAATAGCAACCATATGCACAGCAGAACAAAACACTGCCCAATCCTGGGCCAACCTCACTACTCTTGTCACACTTGAGTCCATAGATGCTGCCACTTGGCCATCCATCTCACTGGAGTCTTCCTCTTTTTCACTGACACTCCAACTTACCAAACATGATCTCTACCTCCAACAACTGGTCACTCCTGACAATATGTCCAAAGTATGAGAGACGAAGTTTGACCATCCTGGCCTCCAAGGAGCACTCTGGCTGCACTTCTTCCAACACAGATCTGTTGGTTCTTTTGGCAGCTCATGGCACTTTCAATATTCCCCTCCAACACCATAACTCAAAAGCATCAATTCTTCTACGGTCTTCCTTATTCACTGTCCAGCTTCCACATGCATATAAGGTTATTGAAAATACCATGACTTGGGTCAAGCACACCTTAGTCCTCAAGCTGACATCTTTACTCTTCAAGACTTTAAAAAGGTCTCATGCTGTAGATTTGCTTAATGCAATACGTCATTTGATCTCTTGACTGCTGCTTTCATGAGTGTTGATTGTTGATCCAAGAAGAATGAAGTACTTGCCAACTTCAATCTTTTCTTTGTTTTTATGCTGGTTATTTATTGGTCCAGTGGTGAGGATTTTTGTTTTCTTGACATTGAGATGTAATCCATACCTAAGGCTGTGTTCTTTGATCTTCATCAGCAAATGTTTTAAGTCCTCTTCACTTTCAGCAAGTAAGATTGTATCATCTGCATATCTCAGGTTGTTAATGAGTCTTCTTCCAATCTGATCCCACAATCTTCTTCATAGAAGCCAGCTTCTCAGAGTATTTGCTTAGCATTCAGGTTGAATATGTATGGTGAAAGAAAACAATCTTGTCACACACCTTTCTTAATTTTAAACCATTCAGTGTTCCCATGTTCTGTTTAAACAACTGCTCCTTGGTCCAGGCACATATTCCTCATGAGCAAAATTAAGTGTTCTGGAATACTCATACTTCACAATGTTGTACATAGCTTGTCATGATCCACACAATTGAAAGCCTTTGCATAGTAAATAAAGCCCAGGTATACATCTTTCTGATACTCTGCTTTCAGCAAATATCCATCGGACATCAGCAATGATATCCCTCGTTCGACGGTCTCTTCTGAATTTGACTTGAACCTCTGGAAGTTCTCTGTCAATGTTTGCTTGCAGCCATTTCTGTGTTACTTTAGTAAAACTTTACTTGAATGGGATATCAAAGAGATTGTCTGATGATTTCCTCATTTCATTGGGTCAGTGGGCCAGATAGTTGTCTTCCAAATTTCTTGGTATAGACGAGTGAGTGCCTCCTGTACCGCCTTTCTTAAAAGATTTCCTGGTGCCTTGTTCTTTCAATGCACCTTGAACTTTCTCATTCAGTATCATTGGCTCTTGATCATATGCTACCTCTTGAAATGGCTGAACATTAACCATTTCCTTTTGGTACAGTGACTCTGTATATTCCTTCCATCTTGCTTTCTGCATCATTCAATAATTTGCCCAGAGAATCCTTCAATAATGAAAATCGAGGCTTGAATTTTTTCTTCTTTTCCCCCAGCTTGAGAATTCTGAGTGTGTTCTCCCATTTTGGTTTTCTGATTCCAAATATTTGCATATTTTGTTGTAATAGTGTCGTTATCTTCTAGAGCTGATCTTTGAAATTTTCTGTTCAGCTCTTGGACTTCCTCATTTCTTCCATTACTTTAGCATCTTTACGCTGCAAAGCAAGTTTCAGTGTCTCTTCTGACATCCATTTTGACTTTTTCTTTCTTTCTTGTCTTCTTAATGACTTTTTGCTCTCTTCACGTATGATGTTCTTGATGTCACCCCACAACTCTTCTGGTCT